TTCCCCCCCAAAATTTTCCCCCAAATCCCCAAAATTCCCCCAAAATTCCCAAAATTTCCCCCCAAATCCCCCAAAATTCCCCCAAATTCCCCTTCAAATCCCCAAAATTCCCCCCAAATCCCCAAAATTCCCCCCCAAAATTTTCCCCCAAATCCCCAAAATTCCCCCAAAATTCCCAAAATTTCCCCCCAAATCCCCCAAATTCCCCAAAATCCCCCCCAAATCCCCAGAATTCCCCCAAAATTCCCCAAATTCCCAATTTTCCCCCCACCTTTCTTGCTGAGCTCCAGCTCCTCCTTCAGCGACTCCACCTTGGCCTTGAGGGTCTCGTTCTCGTCCCGGCTGGGGGACGGGGCCCCCCCAGACTCCTTCAGCTGCTGGGGGGGGGCAAAAAAAAAAAGGGGGTTCAGGGATTTTATTTGGGGGGTCTTGGGGTGCCCAGAGGGTTTTTGGGGTTAAATCCTGATTTTGGGGTTAAATCCTGATTTTTTGGGGTTTAATCCTGATTTTTTTGGGGGTTTTATCCTGATTTTTTGGGGGTTTATTCTGATTTTTGGGGGTTTATTCTGATTTTTGGGGCTTTTATTCTGATTATTTTGGGGGTTTTTATCCTGATTTTTTGGCTTTTATTCTGATTTTTTTGGGGTTTTATCCTGAATTTTTTTGGGTTTTATTCTGATTTTTTTGGGGTTTTATTCTGATTTTTTTGGGTTAAATCCTGAATTTTTGGGGGTTTTATTCTGATTTTTTGGGGTTTTTGTTCTGATTTTTTTGGGGTTTTTATCCTGATTTTTTTGGGGTTTTGTTCTGATTTTTTTGGGGTTTTATTCTGATTTTTTTGGGATTAAATCCTGATTTTTTTTAGGTTTTATTCTGAATTTTTGGGTTTATTCTGATTTTTTTGGGATTAAATCCTGATTTTTTTTAGGTTTTATTCTGAATTTTTGGGGGTTTTTATCCTGATTTTTTGGGTTTTATTCTGATTTTTTGGGTTTTATCCTGATTTTTTTTGGGTTTTATTCTGATTTTTTTGGGGTTTTATTCTGATTTTTTTTGGGTTTTATTCTGATTCTTTTGGGGTTTTGTTCTGATTTTTTTTAGGTTTTATTCTGATTTTTTTAGGTTTTATTCTGATTTTTTTAGGTTTTATTCTGATTTTTTTGGGGTTTTATTCTGATTTTTTTGGGGTTTTATCCTGATTTTTTGGGGGTTTTTATCCTGATTTTTGGGGTTTTATTCTGATTTTTTGGGGTTAAATCCTGAATTTTTGGGGTTTTATTCTGAATTTTTTTGGGTTTTATTCTGATTTTTTTGGGTTTTATTCTGATTTTCTTGGGGTTAAATCCTGAATTTTTTGGGGGTTTTTATCCTGAATTTTTGGGGGTTTTATCCTGATTTTTTTGGGTTTTATTCTGATTTTTTTGGGTTTTATCCTGATTTTTTTTATTTTTTTGGTGTTATTTTTTGGGTGGTTTTGGGGTGATTTTGGTGTAGTTTTTGGGGTGATTTTGGGTGTTTTTGGGGTGATTTTGGGTGTTTTTGGGGTGATTTTGGGGTTGTTTTTGGGGTGATTTTGGGGTTGTTTTTGGGGTGATTTTGGGGTTGTTATTGGGGTGATTTTGGGTGTTTTTTGGGGTGATTTTGGGGATGTTTTTGGGGTGATTTTGGGGTTGTTTTTGGGGTGATTTTGGGTGTTTTTTGGAGTGATTTTGGGTGTTTTTTGGCTGGTTTTTTACCTTCCTGAGGGCGTCGTTATCCTCCAGGTACTGCCGTGCGGCCTGGCTGGCGCCCTCGGCCTGCTTGCGGAAAGCCTGGCTGGAGGCGCCGAGCGCGGCCTGCGCCGAAATCAGCGTCACCAGGCGCCTCAGGAGGCTGGGGGGACACAAAAATGGGGTTCAGGGACACCCCAAAATGTTTTAACCCCTTCAGGGTCACCCTGAGCCCACCCTGGGCCTGTTCGAGTGAGGCCTGGTTGGAGGCTTCGAGTGCGGCCTAGGCCGAGATCCAGGAAATTTGGGAATCTGAGGAAATTTTGGGATCCAGGAAATTTTGAGGGGATAAAAATGGGGTTCAGGGACACCCCAAATTGGCTCCAGACCCCCCAAATTGAATCCAGGACCCCCCAAATTGACTCCAGACCCCCCCAAATTGAATCCAGGACCCCCAAATTGACTCCAGATCCCCTTCCCAC